CCCTCCCTCCATCCATCCCTCCATCCATCCCTCCATCCATCCAACCCCTTTCCTTCCCTCCCTCCTTCCCGTCTCACTTCCTCCTCTATTCCTATCCCTCACTCGTCACATGTTCGCCTGCCGTCCACGCGTGGTGAATAGTAAGCCTGCACATGATCAGAACGATCGAGGAGAGCAGAAATGGCACGTCGGTGTCTTGAACGAAAGTAATCCAATCCATAGTCGATCTACAAGAAGCTTCACAGTACGAGGATCCGGAGGCGGAGGCGGAGGAAGTGAGACAGGAGAAGGAGAGGGAGAGAGAAGACGAGGAGGAGGGGAAGAAGAGTTCACCTCGTCGTGTTGATGAATCCACGTGACGCGTGTTGAGGGCCATGGAGAACGAGGAAAGCGTCATGTAGCACAAGGAAGTTGTATCCTCGCCGGCTCAACTCATACGCATGCGACGACCTGCCTGCGAGACTCTTACCATCATCTCCATCATCACCACCAGCGCATCCATAACCACCATCTCGTCTATCTTCATTTGTCTTGCTCTTCTTGTTCTTCTCCTCCCTCTCCCCTCTCCTGCCTCTCATTCACCTCCAACATCTCCCACGAAGCGGGTGTCGAAGCGAGGGACATCACGGCGACAGAGGAGGAAGGGAGCGAAGTCGTGCTGATACGTCACCGCGTAGGGACGAGTCGCTCTGCCTTGAAATCAGACGCCCTGCTCCCTCCTCTTCCCTCTCACCCGATCCACCGCTCGTAGTCGACGGGAGCATGCGCTCGAGGGGCCTCAAGCTGCTGAAACTGGCGGAGGACGCGCTGCAGCAAGTGAGAGGAGGAGGAGGAGAGGAGGAGAACCTGGTCGAAGAGGCGGATCAGATTCAACTTCTCCTCCGTCTGAGCTGCTTCGACGTCATGTGGAAGGAGGAGAAGAGCAAGACACACTGGCTCGCATCGAGTCTGCAGGGGCTCGCGGAGACTGGAAGGCTTCCATGAAATCACCTGCAATGGAGAGAACAAGGAGGAGGAGGAGGAGGAGAAACATGTCAACAGGGGAAGGAAAAGTGAAAGATGGATAAAGACAATGAGACATGCAGAAACATGAAATAGTCATCATCTTCTTCATCCTCTTACTCCATGCGCACACCCTGGCTTCTCCTTCTCCTTCTCATTATCACCACCACCACCACCACCACCATCATCATTTCTTCTTTCTCATCTCACCACCACAAACATTCATCAACATCACCTTGTTGCATGTTTGTTTCTCGAGCTGTAAACTCAAACGCAGGGAGAACATACACTTGCCTGCAAACGATTGACTTTCTCCCCCTCCTCTTCCCCCTTATCGACCTCTCCTCACTTCCTCCTCGTACGAGCCTCTCAGCTGCTCTATCAATCGCAGCCTGATAAGAGATCAGAAAGTGAGAAGAAGCTCAAGAGAAGTGCCAGGTGATTCGTGAAAAGAAGGAAATTCACGTCCGTAAGAAGAACAACCTGAGGCATAAACTTCACGATAGTACCTCCTTCCCCACTCCTTTTCCTTTCCCATCATCATCTCCATCGTCATCATCGTACCGATGATCTTGCAGAGCCTATCGCGATGTTTCGAAGGAGGTTGACCGGATATTCATTGGGAGACAGGGAGGAGCGAAGAGGCAGGATAAGGAGATGAAGGTCGAGGAGATGAGAGGAGCGGGTATCTGTCAACCACTTGTCGATCATCTGACGGTTCAGATCACTTCTCCTCGTGCCTCTTCGCTTCCCCTCACTCGTTTCTCTTCCTCGTTGCTGACGAGCACACAAACGGAAGCCAACGACCTCCAAGACCTGCAGCCTGCGGTAAGAGCGACGCGAGCCTCTCCTCCCTCCTGCCTCAGCTGCGCCGTCAGCTCGGCTAGTCTTGAGACCGGCAGGTGGGACACGAGTGTGACTTGCTGCGGCTGAGGGCTCAAGTGGCTCCTGAAGAGGGATGAGGATGAGCACGGGAGGAGCGAAGAGAAGAGAAGAGAAGAGAAGAGAAGAGAAGAGAAGAGAAGAGAAGAGAAGAGAAGAGAAGAGAAGAGAAGAGAAGAGAAGAGAAGAGAAGAGAAGAGAAGAGAAGAGATGAGATGAGAAGAGATGAGAAGTGGAGGGAAGACACCTGCGATGAAAGAGCTCGAGGTGCATCCCTGTCATCTTCAACGTCTCCTCAACCTCCTCCCAAAACCTTGTGCGAGGCAAGGAGGAAGAGATCCGTGATGCTATGACCTCCTCTCTCATCTCCTTCGCCCTCTCTCTCTCCTTCTCTGCTTCTCCTTCAACTTCCACCAAAGAAAAGTCATCCAGCCACACGCAGCCCCTCGCCCCTCGCAGCATCACGAAGATTGTCGCTGCCTCCAACCGCAGCCCCCGAGGGGAGGCAGAGATGTTGAGCGTGAGGGGCCACCAGTCGTAGGTGCCGTCGGGAATGAGGAGCGTGAGGTCTTTGACGACGACTGCTGTCTTCCTCTGAAGATGCAGCACATCATGAGAGAACAAATCGGAGGTGAAGAAGAAGTTACCCGGAGGGGAAAAGACGAGGAGGAGGAGGAGGAGGAGGAGGAGGAGGAGGAAAAGCTGATGTCGACAAAGATCCCAGCTCCTTGCGTGAGAAACTGCAAAATTCCATGAGATGATTTCACAAGCAATTCAAAGCACCTGAGCTGAAACCCAAACTGAGAGGAGCAGAGGAGCCGGACGATGCTGACGAATGATGGCGTGATGAAAGATCCCCTTCTCTTCCTGTGCCTGTGAGGAACTAAGTCCCTCCCTGGCCCGCCTGCACTCTCCTCCTCCTCCTCCTCCTCATCATCATCATCATCATCATCATCATCATCATCTCCATCATCATCATCTCCATCATCATCATCATCATCATCATCATCATCATCATCATCATCATCATCATCATCATCATCATCATCATCATCATCATCTCCATCATCTCCATCATCATCATCATCATCATCATCATCATCATCATCATCATCATCATCATCATCATCATCATCATCATCATCATCATCATCATCATCATCATCTCCATCATCATCATCATCATCTCCATCATCATCATCATCATCATCATCATCATCATCATCATCATCATCATCATCATCATCATCATCATCATCATCATCATCATCATCATCATCATCATCATCATCATCATCATCTCCATCATCATCATCATCATCGTCATCATCGTCATCATCGTCATCATCATCGTCCCCTTCCTGCTGCTGCTGCTGCTCCTCCTCCTCCTCCTCCTCTTGCCTCACCTCCCTTTTCTCACATGCTCACATACCTCTGAGAGGCTTTCCAGCTTCATCGCGCTTCTCCCCGAGCGAGACTTGGAAGAGTCGATGGCATACTGCTGGTCTGCTTTCAGCCTCATGTCTTGCCAGTGTGCCGCCTGCATGCAAGTCAAGGGGAGGAGCGAAGGAGGAACGAAGGAGCAGCGAAGGAGCAGCGAAGGAGCAGCGAAGGAGGAACGAGTGTCTTCATCTTAACCTTGATCCTCGTGGAGCCCTGCCGTTGCTCCAGCACCTCAAAGGAAGGGTTCTTCAAAAAGTTGCAGCTGGCGAGGGGCTGAGCTAGCATCGTCATCTCTGCGCTAGGAATTCTCAACACTTGTCCGACCTGCCAGCACGTGAGGGAGGCATGAGAGCTGAGGACGTACGTCGATGTGATGAGCGTCAAGCAGGCCGTTGGTCTCAAGAATGGCGGCAAGCGGAACCGAAAGTCTCGTGGCGATATGGGAGAGCGTGTCGTTGGGCCTTACGGTGTAGGTGTGGAGCTGCAGGAGCGACATGCTGCTGCTGTTCGAGCTGTAAACATCTGTGAGGTTCAGGAGCCGATGGAGCCTCAGCTGCTTCTGCAGCCTCGTCTGCATGCGAAGCTTGACGGAACTCCGGGCAGAAGGTTTCTTGTGCATGAAGATGCTGCGGAAGATGATGGAGAGACCAAAGAAGAAGCAGAGGAGCATGAGCAGCATCGCTCGCGCTCGCAATGGCATGCTCTTCCTCTTCCCCTTCCCTCCCTGCCATCCTGCAGCCTCCGCTTCCATCTTGCATCTTCATCTCGCCATCTCGCCGCCTTGTCAACAATCTCAACTTCTGAACCCGCCTCAGAGAACTGGCCGGACGCATCATAGAACTTCGGAAGACGGCCGGCCCGGCCCAACGTCTCAGCACTGACCGGGCCCGGACTCTGAGTCACGTTGAGAACAAACAAGACCTACGAGTGACCGCTGGTCAGTCGACGAAGCCCCTCCTCTGTTTCGCCAATTGGGTCAGGCAGAGCCGCTGGGGGCAGTGGTGTGTGAGTAAAACTCTTTAGAGATCATCAGACAGTGGCACAGGAGAAGGAGCGTCGCTAGCTGCATCGATCTGAGTTTTACTCGCAGAAGGTAAAAATACGGAACACAGCAACAAATGCGGCTCAACTTGCCACACGAAACATAAGACCTTCTGCCAGTAAATCCGTCATCAACCGAAAGTAACCAGCACTGCTGGCTTCGCTCTGAGTCTTGTTTTTTGTGTATGTTTGTGCAGTGCGCTGTGTGCATGCAGGTTTAGCTTGTTCCTGCTTTGTTCTGCTTGAGGCACTTTTTACCTTCTGCGAGTAAAACTTCAACCTATGGCAACCAGTAGACAGCAGAGAGGGGCAAGCAACGAGCACCGGGATAGCGGCACAACACCCTCATACACGATATGGAGCCGGCTTTGGCGCTGCCCGGAGGTCCGCCTGGGACAGCGGACACATGGAGGCTGGGCGCACGCTGACGGTACCGCTCTAAGTAATGCAAACAGTCCTCGCTGTACGCTGTGTGCATGCAGGTCACCGGGTTTAGCTTGCCGCGTCTGGGTGCCAGCAGTGCTGGTTCTTTTCGGGCTTGTGTTTTGTGTGTGTTTGTGCAGCTTCTCGCTGTGGACTGTGTGCCTGCCGGTTCAGCTTGTTCCTGCTTTGTTTTGCTTGAGGCACTTTTACCTTCTGCCAGTAAATCCTATATCTACCTTAGACGCGATACCCGGAGGCAGCCGACTGACCACTGTCAGTCGAGACGTCCGCTGCCAGGAAATAACAACATAGGATTTACTGGCAG